AAGTTCTTTGGAATGATACGAAAAATGTCAACGAAGTGTTATCGTCGATTTCCTCACAATCTTGCGGTCTGATGTGTGTTGATTTTGGTGAAGACTATAATGTTGTGATATTAGCATTCATAATATCGTCTTTCCTTCGCTGGTTGATGATCGTATTACTCCCGTGCTCAGCCCTGAGTTTAGTTTCGAATCATATGAAGCGGTAGTGTGGTTCTGAACCGGTCAGTGGAGGCTCTCGGGTTTGGTGGTGATTTTACGGTTTTTCTATCAGGATTGGATGGAGGCTTCAGGCGTGAAGGTGAGGTGCAGGAGCTCTCGTGGCGGCCTCAGGATAATTTCAAGGAGCTGGTTGATAACTATCGTCCGAGATTCGTACGATGATAACGACCACTCAGCTCGAGGACGTCTTTGTGAAGGTTCATGTTTAGGTACCGAGGTTGACGATTAAACACAATAGCGAGCTGCCTGTTCCTAAGGCGATTATAGATGCTCAGAATGGCGGTAGGTATTGACGTTGGTGGCTTTGATGGAAATCGAACGCTGGCGTTGTGAAATTTATAAAGGCATTTTTCGGTGGAGTGAGATGTCGATTTATATCGGTCGGAGAAGTGTATGCTTTCAATGTGTGATGAATTTAGTGGCGCGGTGAAGGGTGTTTTTAGTTGTATCAACGGACCCGTTACCCCACGCATATGCTGAGGAGATAAGGACTTGGCAAGAGATGGCTGATGCGGAGGTTGACGGCATGGTTGAGGCGCCTTCACCACAACTGCCGAATAAGGAGGCTGAACTGGTGATACATACGTGTGTCGGGGGAAGAGTGAAAATTTCGAATTTTATGAAATTCTGTACACTGCTGCACTAATTCGTGTGTAAACATTCTATGATTAGTGAGTGATTTAATAACTTAAGCTGATGGAAGCGAATATATATTTCGACGCTGATTTACTATTAGTGTGTTGGTGCTAGATGTGGGTTGATACTGTCGAGTTGGTGGATGAGATGTTGGACGAGTTGGCGGAGGCACCTGAAGTGGCTATTGATTTGGAGCATCATAATATGCAGAGCTATCGAGGCTTTACGTGTCTTATACAGGTGGGTGATGGTATGTGGTTTGATGGTGGAGT